CTGCCTCAGCCTCCCAACTAGCTGGGACTACAGGCACCTGCCACAAAGCCAGGCTAGTTTTTCTATTTTTAGTAGAGACGGGGTCTTAATCTTGTTCAAGTTGGTCTCGAACTCCTGAGCTCAAACAACCCACCTGCCTCAGCCTCCCAGAGTGCTAGAATTATAGGTGTGAGCCACCATACTTGGCCAAAATTAGTATTATGAGACCTTTAAACATAGGGCCCCTAGAAGCTGGACTTCTGATATATTACTATTGTAAAATTAATGGGGTGACAAAATCTTTTCAGAAAATGTCATTAAGTTAAGAAAAATGATATGGGCTGGGCGTGGTGGCTCATACCTGTAATCCTGGCTCCTTGGGGAGGCTGACTGGGGAGTGCTGCTTGAGTTCAGGAGATCAAGACTAGCCTGACTGAGAGTGAGACTCCATCTGTACAAAAAATAGAAAAATGAGCTGGGTGTGATTTCTGTACCTATAGTCCTAGCTGCTCAGAAGGCTGAGGAGCCCAGGAGTTTGAACTGTGTTTTGAACTGTGATGACACCACTGCACTCTAACCAAGGTGACTGAGTAAGACTGTCTCAAAAACTGAAGTAGGTGGATAGCTTGAGCTCAGGAGTTTGAGACCAGCCTGAACATGAGCCAGACCCCATCTTTACTGAAAATAGAAAACTAGGTAGGTGTTATGGTGGGCGCTTATAGTCCTAGCCACTGGGGAGGCTGAGGGAGGAGGATTGCTTGAGCTCAAGAGTTTGTGGTTGCTGTGAGCTATGATGATACCAGGGCACTCTACTCAGAGTGTTGGAGTGAGACTCTGTCTCGAAAACAAACAAAAACCAAAAACCAAATTTTTAGAAAAGTGACACTTGGAATTAAATATTGTCAAAGTGCTTGAAGTTTTTTAAAGCATTTTTTTCTTTGCTTTTTGATTTAGGATCACTCTGTTACTTGGGCTAGAGTACAGTGGCACCATCATAGCTCACAGCAACTTCAAACTACTGGCTTCCAAAGGGCCTCCCACCTCAGCTTCCGAAAGTGCTAGGATTACAGGTGTGAGCTACTGTACCTGGCCAAGTATTTTGTTTTATTTTATGTGAATCTCAAGCTATTGCTCTGGGTAGAGTGCTATAGTGTCATAGTTCACAGCAACCTCCAACTCTTGAGCTCAAACGATCCTCTTGCCTCAGTTTTTCTTTTTTTTTTCTTTTTGCAGTTTTTGGCTAGGGCTGGGTTTGAACTCACCACCTCTGACATATGGGGCCGGCATCCTACCGCTTTGAGCCATAGGTGCTGCCCAATTTTTCTATTTTTTAGTAGCGATGGGGTTTCGCTTTTGCTCATGCTGATGTTAAACTCCTGAGCTCAAGCAATCCACCCACCCCACCCTCCCAGAGTGCTAGGATTACAGGCATGAGCCACTGTGCCCAGCCTGGCCAAGCATTTTAAATCTTTACAAGATTTTAGAAAATACAATTTAATAAATAAAATTTGGGCAAAAGCC